AGTAAGACAGAATAATAACAGTACAAGCAGGGGGGAGAGAGATAATAAGGGAGAGGCCTCACTAAAAAAAACAGCAATGTGATCTAACAGAGAATACTCAGCGTTTCACCTTTGTAAGGCAGACAGATGTCATAAGGGGTATTCGATCCAAGTGATGCTAAAACGTTATGACGCCTGTAGTCGGTGGAGGGGCTGGGGATGGGAGAGGTAAGAATTTTTTGTTTTTCCTCAGAGCAAAGACAATCGCAGAACACAGCCAATGGTATAAGGAGGACCAACATTGAGGGAGGGTAGAAAAGAGAATGAGGGGGAAAGAATAAAGAGAAAAGGGAATAAGTTGAAAAAGAGGGGTAAAATCTCCTGTCCGGACATCCTGCTAAAAGAAAAGTCAAGGAAATAATGGAATAGAAGGAAAGATAGGGAGAAAAAGAAGGCAGAGTGGGAGAGACGGGGTAAGAGTAAAATGATTGGTGAGGGCAGGACAGAAGAAAAAGAGCCAGCATTCACTTAATGAGAGCATTCTAGGTATCCGTGTTTTTAAACAGATGCCATGCTGTCCAAGTTCTTGGGTAACTAGACATGTCTTCTTTACAGGAGAAAATAAGCTCCTCCATGTTTGCCACCGCATCCACTCATGAGAGCCACTCTGACAGTTTCCAATGTCTAGGTATCACTGTTTTCGCTGTGTTCAGCAGATGTAGCGCCAGTGCACAGTCCTTTTTAGGCACTCTACACAAATAATTGTACAAGGAAGGCAGAGGCAAGACTACAAAAGGAGGTTGTTCCAATATCTATCTGACCGATTCTCAGTTTTTCTGCCTTTTTAGTTGTGAAGTATTTCTTGATTGTTTGCATTTAGTTTATTGACCTATTTTTTTTTTGAGTGAGTGTTTCTCACTCTGATACAGCAACTTGCAAGCATAGTGTTCAGCTTGTGTGAAGATGGTATTGTTATGCTTCATTTAAGCTTGATGATAGAAACCAAGCAACTTATTGTTTTTGGGGGTTTTTTGGCAGGTGCAGATTCAGTCAGATGTTACACCCTATATTTGAAGAAGCTTCCAACATAATTAAAGAGGAATATCCCGATAGAAGTAAAGTTGTCTTTGCAAGAGTGGATTGTGATCAGCACTGTAAGTGTGTTTAGTTTTTTACACATACTGTAAGTTTTTATATTGGGATAGTTTAAGTAACCAACACATAAAGCATGCAGCAATCCTCCTACCCTAGCACAAGAGGACATCTTTTCATTATCTCCACTGCATGTTGCTCCCATTCTGTTTTGATATTCAGCAACTTGGTACTTTCTATGCAGTGGTACATCATTGTAGTCAAGATTATACCTAACTTGTATACTTAATCTGGGATGGTATGGAGTATACTGGCTATGTGCTTATGTTTGTTTTCAAATGTATTTCAGTACATGCTGTGTTTTTGCTATTCAATATACTTCAAATCCAGTGAGGGAACAACTGTGCTCCACATTTCCCCCGGTGGCCAACACTCAATCACTGCACTCACCAGACTTCACTGACCATATGTAAACATAATGGTCAAAGTGCCAGCTCTCCCAGTCCGTTATAGCGGACACAGAGAATTCAACAAGTCATTTAAACATTTTCCTTCACTATCCTTCTAATCATGCATATCATTCAAAGGGAATACGGAGAGGCATATGGTGTATTATTATTAAAAAAATGCTTTATGAAAACACTAAAAACACTTACAAGATTACCAAGGATATAAAACAGTAAGAATCCTACTCCCACGCTGTTCTGTCCAGCATCTGTATAATACCAACCACTTACTACTAGTGTACTGATGTCAGCATGTGCCTGCCCTTTCCGACGTGTTTCGTCATGAAGACGTTTTCCAGGATGCTTACCTTCCGGGAAAAAGTCTTCTTAACTAAACACAATGGGGTGGGCACATGCTGATGTCAGTACACCAGTAGCAAGTGGTTGGTACTATACCAATATCGGAACGCAATTAAAACTTCAAATAAGCAATATATATTACAACATGGGTGTAGACAGTGAGAGCTAATACAAACATGGAATTTGGATGTGGACATCTGGAATTCTAGTTTGCACATCTGTACTGTGCTCCAAACAGAATACCGGTTCAGTCGAGTAAACCCTGGCAAGGTGTAGGAGTTCCTAAATGTTTAATTAAAATGCATTGTTGTCATGGGCAGATTGATGACCTTTTCAATCAGAAATGTGACAAAAGAATAAAAAATATGGCAAATTATCACGGTGGGTACTGTATCGGGAAAGGCAATATTGGCATCTCTGTCAGTAATACTCCAGCTGTGTTTCAAGGAGTCAATAAACTGCATGCTCTGCAGCTGCAGTGTCAAAATATTTTTTCTTTCTCATCCATTGAGGGATGTAAGAAGTCGTACCGTCAGGGTATACTGCCACCTACATGAGGTCGGAACACTGGAAATAGGGATGCACAGATACCGTTTTTTCAGTATATAGTACTGATACTTTGCTTTCGGCACTCGTCGATTTGTGCTTGGCCAGGAAACCGGCTTCCCAGCCAAACGGCATCGAGCTGGCTTCCTGGTCAATCAGGGAGGCGGGTCATTACTTGCCGCCCAGCTTCCATGTTCCCCTAAGGCACTGGCGGTCAAAGGAAATTTTTCCTCTGACCGGAACTTGCGGTATCGGGGAAGGAATCAGAGCAATTGGGCGCGTACAAGTACTCACCCAAATACTCAGGATCGACACCGATACTACGGTAGTATCGGTGCATCCCTACTGGAAAACAACTAAACTGTAAGCCAACTCAGGATATCCCTACTAATCACATGCCTCAGATTTTTATCAGAGTTCTAGGAGTATGCATATCATAGGCTGGATTCACACCTTGGCGGCAGCATTTTTGCTTCTTTCTACACATGTTTTTGCTGCACATTTTTTCACGTATTTTATGCACATAAATCAAGTTGCGAGCAGATTGTGACTGACGGACCCCAGTACTCAGGATGAGTATGTCCACCGCTGTATTCTTCCTTGCTGAGGAGATATTGCAACCTGAAGATCCTTAGCTCCCAGTTTCCCCAGTCACTGGTCGCGACTCAAGTGTAGGGTGAAACAAACTCATTTATTGAGCAACTGTGCAACCTTTTATACAGCAAGTGATGAGATCAGATTATAATCCCATCACATCCACCCTGCCTTCCCCAGACATTCTGTCTTCACAGCACCACAGGGTTTCCCCTGCTAATGAGCTCCAGACAGCCATAGCAAGAGCCTGGCCCGAATGTCATTATCCTGGGCTCCTTCAGAGTACAATGGGAGATAACGAGGGATGGTGCTGATAGTCTTTTCATAACCAGGTCACACAGCATAACGCACTTAAACATAACCCAACAACAATACACATTTAACTTATAAACTCATCACCATGTCGTCACAGTGACACATTAATGTAAATGGACAAAAAAAAACTCAGCGAACGCAGATTTTTGAGCATTTCTATTTGTCTATCGGGCCAAGAAGAGCTTACTCTGCCAAAACGTAGCTCATGTACTTTTTCCTGTGACAAGCGTTTTCCTACAAACAGCAGAACGTTTAGATGTGAACGTGGCCATAAAATTGAATGGTATTTTGTTTTGGGAGCTTTTTAAAAAAAATTTCTAAGCATTTTTTTAGAGCACAAAAAGCGCTACAAAACACTAGGCGTGAACCAGGACTAATATTCATCTCTGCTGGGAAAAGCCTTACTTTTTTTGTTGCTAGCATCTTTTCTTCTTTGATCAAGATTCTTTGCTGCAGTGCTGCTTGAGCTATTCTCTACAATGGCAGCTATCCAGATTGGTCTTTTCTCAGCCAAACTTTGGAGTCCTGTACCCAAAAAAAAACAATTTTTTTTTGTTAAAACTTCCCCCTACCATCTGGGGATATCCCGGTGGACGGATATTGCATCCACCTGGCACAAGAGGGGTTAACCGGAGGGGAAGGAAGGATCGTGGTTTCACCTGATCTTTCGGATCCAGAACTAGGAAACGGAGGAGAAAAGATAACTAGAAGAAATCGGTGAAGGGGCCCTCTCAAAATTTACTTCTTCAGTGGATCCCAGGATAAAATCAAGGACAGATAAGTACTTTTATTCCTCACAAATTACTGCTCGCAAGTCGGGGCGATATAGATGACTGGTCAACTGACTTTCTCCGACATTAAGATCGACCCATGAGAGGATATACGAATGGTGTCAGGATATATAAAGGACTTGCTGATTTTTGCTCATTGATTGGAATTATACCCCAGATGTAAGATTATATTCGGAGACCAACTTCCCTTGGAGATTTAGGGCAAGTAGACCAAAGCATTTAACAGCTGAATGGTTTAAGAGGAAAGCCCCCTCCCATTTGGTGACTCCACTTGACCTTTTTATATTGTTTGCTATATTGTTTAGATCGTTTTATATTGGTTTGTCATATTGTTTTGGTTTGCCATTATCCTTTTATACTCCCAAGCTTATAAGCGGGACAGAAGATTCCATCACAAGTTTACACTATAACTGTTCTAAACACTAGTAAAGAAAAGGACACTGGAAGGCAGGGGAGAAAAGGGAAAGAAAAAAAAATATATTTTCCTCCTCCTAAGGATTGGGGGAAACAACACAACACTTCTTCTTTTTTTTTTTTTTTTTTTTAATAGGGGATTTGCACAGTAAGAGCTCACACAGGCTTTTCGGAAATCATTAATTACAGAAGGAATCCCTATCAATTCATTAACAATGTAAGAGAATATATACAATAGTTCACGGTCACATATTAATATATGATGCACAGTTGTTTTTGAGGTGGCACAGACAATTTATTAACCCATTTCCTTATTTCACATACCAAGCGCAGCATATTATAGACTTCACTGTGGTTCTGATTGCACATTGCTGCAGCTGGTCATTATTTACACATAGTGTTTCCTCCTAGCGCAACTTCTTGTTCTTTTGTACCCAGATCCTGTTGGACTGGATTCTGCCTAGCCTAGACGTGACTTTAAGACACACAGGGTTCCGCTGTAGGTGGTTTTTAGATTCCATTCTGGTAACCATTTAGCCACAGATAACTTTCTAGGTACAGAACCGATTGCATTGGCTTTGTGCATGCCACATCTCTGAAGACTCGCTCGGTGAGTAGGCCAGTCAGGCTAAGTGCTGGGAAATACCTCATTGTTGCACTGCTGAATGCCTTAAAGCTTTCCTGCTCTCCGTTGGAAGGGACGGATCCTGATGTACGGAGTGCTGATGTAATCCGCTGGGTGGAGTGTCCCACGCTCTTTTCCACAATTCAGCATCAAGGAAGCATCTTCCTGCTGCTCTGCCTGATTTGCAGAGAGCCTCCAAAACTCTAACTCCGATTTTAGTCTGTTCTTGTTGCCTGCCTACCGTGACTTGGTCACTTCTGGTCACCTGACCCTGCACTTGCTGCCAGCAGTTGGGTTCTTTGAGTAGCTGAGGCCTTGCCTTGCACACTGAGCTATGTTGCTTCACTGACATGTGGTTGCAACATATCTGATTCTAAACACAGAGAGGACAGTTCTGCTGCGCAAGGTGCTTCCAGCTCACAGTTCAAAAACGACTTGGGTGTTGCTTGCAGAGTGCCTGCTGACGCCGCTGACATCTGCAGCCTGAAAGCGTTTTGCCCTCTGTCCCTGAAGTCGATACCATCTTCAGAATCTTCCCTAGTTCCTTCGGCTAGGCCTCCCTGCTCTGTCTGAGGCGGACAAATAGCACAGATATTTGCTGACTCTTTAATAGAGGCCACAAGCATGCTTCTTTGCCTTCCCGCACAAATTATTTAACGGATTTGCGTGAGGCCTCTGTGCTGTCAGCCACTGACATTCTGATTCTGCCATCACTCGAAACTTGAGGACCATTTTAGTTCCTATTGATGTGGAACATACTAGGGATGCACTTGCATCTGGAGCATTTGGGTGGGTATGAGTGCTCGCCCAAATACTCTGTACCGGCACCCTTACCGTACTAGTATTGGTGCATCCCTAGTACATACCATTTTGAAGCTAGAGCTTCAGTTCCTAGTCTAATCTCCCTCTGATCAAACAACAAAGACCCGCAGTACTGGTCCTGGGCCCGCACAGGGGGCAGTGGGGGGGCCTTCTTACCATCTTGTCTTGAACTGTATTGTAATTATGTCTTCCCTATATTGTAAAGCGCTGAGCCAGCGGCGCTATATAAATCCTGCATAATAATAAGTTATTTTGCTTACGCTACATATGCCAAGACTGGCTTTCAGTCCAGCCGCAAGGCTTGGAACACCAAGTCTACCAGGCAGTCAGACAAAATTTCTGCATGAAGATGCGCAACACATTCCAGAGTGGGGGGCGGTGCATCTGTTCCAGATTGTCCAGATCTTCTGACTGCATCTTCGGACTGATTCTATTATCCTGCTTCACAGTAGCTGGCTTTAATTGCATGGTTGTTGAAGCCTGGGTTCTGTGGGACAGGTGCATCTATAAATCAGTTAAAGCTAGGAAAACCTTACACCATACATGGTTCCAGAAATTATTGACTTGCTACTCCGTAATTAGGACTTTGGTTAGGGTGTCTTCCATGTGGCTCCCCTGTTACTCCCATGGGATCTGATTTTGGTTCCCTCGGGACTTCAAAAAGGGACTTTCTCCTTTTTAACCATAAGTTTTGTTTCTTGTAGCCATAATCTCTGCAAGGCGAGTGTCTGAGTTGGTGGCCTTATTTGTAAAGAACCCTTTTCGGTCTCGAATGAGGTGGTGTTGAGGCCCAGAACTTCCTTGCCACTGGAGGTAGGTTTGGCTCTCACCTCAACAAGGACATTGTTATTCTGTCCCTCCACCTGGCTCTAGTTCATGAGAATTCCCTCTGATGTCTGGATGTGATTTGAGGTATGATAGTCTGTCTCCCCTTAAAGCTTCTCATTAGATTTCTCAGTGGCTTAAACCATTATCCAATGGTCCGTCCATGGTCTTAAGCATAATTTAACACCCATTCCTGTCAGTGCACACTCTACTAGATCTATGAATGCCTCTCGGGCTCTTTGGCATCAGGCTACTGTTTTCCAGAAGGTCTGTTTTTCTGTTCACATGTTTCCCAAGTTCTACTAAGTGGATTTGCAGGCTTTATCTGATGCCAGCTTCAGGTGTAAAGTCCTTCAGATGGCTCTTTGAGCTGCAGGCAGTCTTCAGTTCTGTTTAGTGGGCCTGTTACTGTTTTTTGTTTGCTGTTGTCCTCCCCTCAGTTGCACTGCTTTTGACAGTCCCAACAGTACATGACTTCCTGTGTACCTCAAAGGAGCAAGAAAGAAAATAGGATTTTTGAAATAATCTTGAAATCCATTGAGGAACACTGCCCTTATGTGTTTATGACCATGCTCTCGATACTGCTTTGCTACAAAACTGAGGCATGCTGGTGGTAGGTGTAGTTATCCTGGGATGGCTTATAATTGTTGCTCGTCAATGTCCATTCCTCCTGTAGGCAGCATTATAACCTAAAAGTATATGATTTTCTGTGTCCCTCAATGAACTCTAGAGCCAGAGTTCCGCTTTTAAATACCAGTGTTGGCTTAAAAGCCAATTGGATCCTCACACAGTATTGAATGTATACACTTGTTTAGTTATTGCTGTTATGTTACTTAACATTTGTTATGTTAACATACTGTAACATTTGCGAAATCCTGTGTCTACTTGCATGTGCCTCGTTTTATTTCAAAATGTCCTTTCCCCCCCCCCCCCCCCCCTCTCCCCTCTCTCCTGGATCTTCC